CTAATACCACTTACTGGGATCGAAAAAGCAAGTTTGACATGATATGAAGTATGAATAGCACAAGCAAGAACAAGATGAAAGCAAAAAGTGACTGGCAGAGGAACTAAGTAATTTTATTAATTGACAACCAAATGAGAGAAAAATACACTTTTAGCAATGCATAAACTGGAAGAAAAGTCAAATCTATATATGGACAATTCAAACCCTAAAAGCAGAGTTTTGGATGAAATAGAAAGTCAAAAAGCCTTTTTATCTTGGTCTCTTTAAGTATAACACAAACTTCAACTCTCAATAAGGCTTCTAAATAGAACTTTAACTAAAATTTGCCAATAGATTTCGAATAGAATTCCAAAACCATCCCGAATAGAATTCTTATTAATATACACTTTAATTAGAATTCTCAAGTATCTTCATCAGAGAATTCGGGTCACACTCAAATTCTAATAGTACATACAACAAATGTGTCATTAACAAGGCATAAATGTGAGATGCCAAGCGATTCCTTGGAAGGGCCAAGACCCCAAAGTTTTTGTAGATCTTCGTTGAAAAATAAAAAAAAAATAAAAAAATAAGTAAAAGGATTTCAACTCATTGATAAAAACCTTTGGTAGCCTAGTAGTGAAGTTTTTACTTTTTGTTTGAGAGACAAGGTTTCTATTCCTCGTGACAACAATTTTATTCTTCATTTTTATATTTCATTTTTTTTTGGCAAGTAGTCCCAAGATATGGGACCTTTGAAAAATTTACCTCAACCTTTAAAATCAAACACTTCAATTCCCATCCTTAAGTTCTATTTACATATTTTATCCTGTTTACACAACTAGTAGTAAGTATGTGCATTGCACGTCTTATGTATCGAATGAATGATATGCATAATATAATGAAGGTTGATTGGTCATCTTTTATTTTATTATTTTTTTCCCATTTCAAAGTCGGTATGTTTTTCCTTTCTCAAGCATAGGAAAGAACTTTTTGATTGAGTCCTTAAAGAATGTAGCTTGAAAATTACTTTCCTGAAAACATTATAAAATAATGACCTAATAGTGAAACTTCTATATGAAAAGTATTGACTATTTATGACATTACATAATGCATCCTCATCGCACAAAATTAGTTTTAAAACTCCAACAACGCTGTTCTTATTGCTGTAGATCTTGATGGAACATTTTCGAAGTATGAATAATTTTATAATCAATTCTTCTTCAAATGCATTCAATTTTCTTATAAAGATATAATCGCAATCTTTGTTTGGTAGCATCAATACTACAAATATGAAAACTAATTTAAGATATGACACACAAAAATATACATTAACAATTAAAAAAAAAGGGAATAAGTTAATATTTTCAAATTAAATTGATGATCTAACTCATTTTGTTGATCTATCGATGAATCAGACCTCATTCATATTAGTGTTTTCGACGATGAGTATTCATCTATGATGTTTCTAGCACAAAAAATAAAAAATTATTGATATGTTGGTTTAATAATTTATTATCAACATTTAAAAAAAAATCATATAGCAAATATATGACGTATCATACGAATATAATACTGTAAAACACTTCTCTTTATCAAGAATGTGATTGTGTTCAGATACCAATATGATATGGCGATAGATGCTAATTATAATTAATACCTAAAAATTTGCTTAATACCAAAAATTGAAATGCAAACTCAGCTTAACTAATCACAAAATAACAACAACAACGACATTATCATCATCACTCATCAACTCATAAGTTGCTTATTCTTATCATTTAGATGAACATTACTAAAAGAATTCAAAAATAAAAATAGAGAGAAAAAAGTACTATATGATTTTTTTAACATAATAAAAAATTTCGTCAAAGACCAAAACAATCAATTTTATTTATTTTTCTTTTTTCTTTTTTTTTTGTAGAATTTGTCTCACGCAAATCGACTTCTCCAAAACTCCAACGCCTAATATGAATACATTTACATACATAAACATTATCTAAGCTATTTTCGAGTTTTGAGAAACTCTAGCCCCCAACAAATTGTTTTCATTGACAATATGTTTATCTTTAGTCCACAATAAATTACTTACATCAACAACAGTCCTAGAATGAGAAAAGGTTGATTTTCATAACCATATTGATCTTAATTATATTTATTATATAGTGTATACTGATACAAACAACATTGCATCTCCCTTTCATTTATTTACATTAATTATTAATTATGAAAATAGTCATCTCTTAATTTATTTCACAGGCTCTCCATTAGCAAGAAATTAAAAAATGTAGCCTCAACCCTCTCTCCATCTTCCTTAATCGAATGTTCTATCTTTACTCCGTTAATGTTGTGTGTGGACTGTTAGAATTTCAATACATATTATAAAGTTATAGTAATTTATTTAGTTTCACAAAATGATAATAATATAGTGGAAAATAATTTAGGGTTTAATTGTGAAATGAGAAAAGATTGTAAATGTTTATTGCAGTTAATGTTGTGTAGTTAATAAATATTTTAATGAAAATATAATTACCCTATCATTTGGTATTTCGTTTTTATCTAAACTTAGATATCATGAAGATTCATAAGTAACTACCAATTAAAATAACTTTTAAATAAAGATAAATATCACATAAAATAAAATTATATCAATTTACGTAGTAGTATTTTGTATGCATTAATTTTATTACATTAAATGTATTACTTAGTTGTTAGGATATGTGTGAAACAATCAAATGAAACAGCCATTTAAATAAGGTAATATGAATGCTATTTTTTAAAACTAACTAATTCAACTGAGGAAAGAAATTTAAGTTATATTTTTATAATAAAATTTAATAACAATCAATATAATATTAAAAAGATTAATTTAGGGAATTATTGACAAATGAAAAAGAAAAGGATTTTTTTTAAAAAAAAAATTTCATGTTGAATAAATTGAATTAATGTTATTAATTAATTATTCACAAAACTAAAATTAAATAAGGGTATATTGGACGTATAGCTAAATATGTAAAGAATTAATGTTATTAATTAATTATTAACAAATTGAAAATAAATAATGGTATATTAGGTAAATAGCTAAATATGTAAGTGTAAATTGAGTATTCAAAAATTTCTCCTCAATTCTCACTTTTAATATGTTGTAGATAATTACATTTACAATAATGTTAAATTTTCCTTGCATGAGATCCATGAGCTAATTTTTTGGACAGATAAAATTGGCAAAATATATATATACTTGCCTCATAATCTGATCTTTCAAGATATTTATTTATTTTCAATTTTTTTATTGTTTACTTCAAATGCCTCCCTATCCGTTATCACCATGCTATTGACACTGAGTATTGCGGCACCGTCGACCATCGTTGGGCCCCTAACCAATAATTCTAGCTCTACCATATGTTATTTGTGGCCAAGCTTTCACCACCCAAAGGCCATTATTATGTTGAGGTTTATTCCACAGTACAGCAATATGTGCTCTACAAGTATAAAGTTCTTCATGCCCTCTACATGAGGGGGCTCCACAAATAAAATAGGGTGGGCCCCATAACATACGAGGGGCTGTCAAAGTTGATGTACACTCTTCACCAAGCATAGATCGTATGTTGATATTTGTTATTGAACTTGATTCCTGTAGCTCTCATTTTGCAGTATAAATTGTCTGTCCCTGAACCTCCGGCCCCTCAGCAGCTCAGGGAGGTAAATCGCAGGATGTGTCCTTGTTGGCTCCCAGGTTCCCACAACTTATTTGGACTCCTTCCGCAAAGAGAGCTCTCCTCGTTGGGCGTTTGTTCAACCAAATGGCTTCCCCTTCATTTAGCACCCAGTGTTAACTCCAGGAATCGAACTCTCCACCCTTGCTTCCAGCGTCCCAGCGAAGTGATTGTTCCACCAACTCGGATGTGCCCTGGGGGGCCTCCTCAATTCTCACTTTTAATATATTGTAGATAATTACATTTACAATAATGTTAAATTTTCCTTGCATGAGATCCATGAGCTAATTTTTTGGACAGATAAAATTGGCAAAATATATATATACTTGCCTCATAATCTGATCTTTCAAGATATTTATTTATTTTCAATTTTTTTATTGTTTACTTCAAATGCCTCCCTATCCGTTATCACCATGCTATTGACACTGAGTATTGCGGCACCGTCGACCATCGTTGGGCCCCTAACCAATAATTCTAGCTCTACCATATGTTATTTGTGGCCAAGCTTTCACCACCCAAAGGCCATTATTATGTTGAGGTTTATTCCACAGTACAGCAATATGTGCTCTACAAGTATAAAGTTCTTCATGCCCTCTACATGAGGGGGCTCCACAAATAAAATAGGGTGGGCCCCATAACATACGAGGGGCTGTCAAAGTTGATGTACACTCTTCACCAAGCATAGATCGTATGTTGATATTTGTTATTGAACTTGATTCCTGTAGCTCTCATTTTGCAGTATAAATTGCCATTTTCTCTTGAAGATTTGGTCAAGCCATTTCAAACGTTAGTAAAGATGAACAAATTTATTGATTTTCGAAAGAAACTAAGTCATACAACTCATTTCTTGGTATTCAGTTGTTTAAGAACAACTTTATTGATTTTCAGCTGTTTAAGAACAAAATTACTATGCTCATACAACTATTTTCTTGGTATTCAGTCATACGTTCTTCATATTCTTCTCTTTCGAGTAAATCCATTTTGGATCGAAGTTTTCTATTTTATCATAGTTTCCTTATTATCACCATGCTATTGACACTGAGTATTGCGGCACCGTCGACCATCGTTGGGCCCCTAACCAATAATTCTAGCTCTACCATATGTTATTTGTGGCCAAGCTTTCACCACACAAAGGCCATTATTATGTTGAGGTTTATTCCACAGTACAGCAATATGTGCTCTCCAAGTATACAGTTCTTCATGCCCTCTACATGAGGGGGCTCCACAAATAAAATAGGCTGGGCCCCATAACATACGAGGGGCTGTCAAAGTTGATGTACACTCTTCACCAAGCATAGATCGTATGTTGATATTTGTTATTGAACTTGATTCCTGTAGCTCTCATTTTGCAGTATAAATTGCCATTTTCTCTTGAAGATTTGGTCAAGCCATTTCAAACGTTAGTAAAGATGAACAAATTTATTGATTTTCGAAAGAAACTAAGTCATACAACTCATTTCTTGGTATTCAGTTGTTTAAGAACAACTTTATTGATTTTCAGCTGTTTAAGAACAAAATTACTATGCTCCTACAACTATTTTCTTGGTATTCAGTCATACGTTCTTCATATTCTTCTCTTTCGAGTAAATCCATTTTGGATCGAAGTTTTCTATTTTATCATAGTTTCCTTGGTTGGTTTCTTGGCTTTGAGGATTTCAAAGACAAGAAAAACTTCATTCACGCCAAAAGATTTTGATCTCATATTCACATCTGTGTCAGCTGCCACTGTTTCAAGCGTTTCCACCGTCGAAATGGAGGTCTTTTCCAACATACAACTTGTGTTTTTAACCTTTTTAATGCTTTTTGGTGGAGAAGTCTTTTATTCCATGATTGAACTTCATTTGATGAAGTCCAAGCTTCAAAAAATCAGAATAAAAGACAACGAGACCGATTCTTATATCACGGACTCTGATTCTTCAAATCCAAAAAATTCCATTGATCATATTGAGCTCGGTATGGTTACTCACTCTGAAGATGAGAAGCCAGATGCCACATTAGAGACAGATGAAAAAGCCCCAGAGACAGAGACTTTGAAATTCAACTCCATTATAATTCTGTCTCATGTAGTCTTATGTTATCTTCTGGTGGTTCATGTAGCAGGTTTTTCTTTGATTTTGTTTTATTTAAGCCTTATTTCAAGTGCAAAAGAAGTGCTCCAGAAAAAAGGACTCAATGTGAAAACTTTCGGTATCTTCACTACAGTATCTTCATTTGCAAACTGTGGTTTTGTCCCTACAAATGAAAATATGATGGTTTTCAAGAAAAATACAGGTCTTCTCCTCATTTTAATCCCTCAGATTCTTATTGGGAACACATTATATCCTGTATGCCTACGTCTCATCATCTGGTTTTTGGAGAAATTTATGAAGAGGGCTGAATTCAGGTACATGCTAAAAAATTCCAGAGAATTGGGCTATGCTCATTTGTTACCGGGGCTGCATTCAGCTTTTCTTGCATTCACTGTTTTTGCGTTCATAGCGATACAGTTCGTGCTATTTTGCTTGTTGGAGTGGCATTCAGAAGCCATTTCTGGTATAAGTTCTTATCAGAAGATGGTAGGATCTTTGTTTCAAGTGATGAATTCCAGGCATGCCGGAGAATCTGTTTTTATGTCTTAGTTAGATCAGTTGTTCTTATTTTCTTTCCCTATTTAAAAACTTAATATGCGTTCATTGTTTTTTGATTCTTTTATAATTAAATAAATACTTGAAGCTTTTTGTCGAGTTATTGAACGCTTTTTGGTTTAAATTCCTAGTTATCTAAGGACCAATATTGGCCCCTCCAATAGTTAACATTCAGCTTCATCATTCCACCACTATGAACCTGCCATTGTAGGGAGATATGGGGTTCGGGGAAGGGATGAGTGATGTCTCAGCTATTGAAAGAGTAGGGCTCTTAAGGACATATGATTAATTTAACATCAAAGATTCTTTATAGTCAAATGTATCACCTTTTGTTATGGAGTCCATTAAGCCCCCGTTCGGCCCCCATTACACCTCATCAAGTTAAATTAAATTTTTGTTTCTTCTATTTTCAACTACACAATTTTTAATAAAATAATATTATACGTAAATCGAAATTTTTTTATTCTTTTACAACCATCCATTTTTTATTAAAAAAAAAAAAAAATACTATTCTATCATTGTAATCAACTTTAACTGGGGACAAACAAGGGCTTTTAGTAGCTTAAATCCACGATCAACCTTGTGACACATTCTTTTTTTGTTCAATATTGCATATCAAAGATGCTTGATTTTTAGATACCAACAATGAAAAATACATGAAGACAAATCATATCGACAGGACATGTGTACATGTATTGGGAGGATTAATCTTGAGAAATCAAGATTTTTTTCTAAGGGTGTTTTGTTTAGACACAGGATTTCTGGGTGATTGGAAATTAAGACCCTACACCAGATGTGGATAAAGTTCAACCAAGATCCTACACTAGATAGTTGTTGATAAAGAAGGAGACCATACCATGCTGTTTTCGTACCTCAACCATGTTGGGAATCTACTTACACATGCACAGCGAAAAATGAAATTATTTCGATCCCCACTGAGGATCCCTTTGTTTTTAGATAGAAACCGTGATAAAGATTGTACCTTTGAAAAATTCTGCAAACGTTTTGCTTTTCTTTTAGTTCCAGCAATCTTGATTCGCCACCCACAGCTGTCCAATTGTCCAGCCTCCAACGGTGATCCATATAGAAAACAAGCTTGCAGCTAACAGGATATTCTCCTCTTGTGCTAGCAAGAATAATTATGAGAAAAAAATCATGTGAATTGAAAACCTTAGCCACGTATTTATATAAGCCCAAACGGGCCTTGTTCGGTCCGGTCCAATATTTAATTAATCCATTTAATTAAATTTGGTCCGTGAATTAATTAATCAAATTAATTAATTCGGGCCTATAAATAAATAAACCAATTAATTAATTTATCCAACGATTGTTAAATTAATTAATTAACAAATTGCAATTTTCCAATTCTCTTTTGTATGCGACCCATCAGGTTCCCGATCACGATGTCTAACGACGTAAAATATTATTTTGATCTAATCAAAATTGATAAATTAAAACTCCTTTTTAATTTATCATCAATTCACACTCGCCATCCCAGATTGACTTTTAGCAATGTGTCAGGGCAATACATGTGACGGGAAATGTCACGTGGCATGACAAAACCAAACTCGTTCGTTTACCGTGAAACTATAATCCTTTCGTCAATATGATCCGATCAATTACGAGATATGGAATTGTGTCAATCCCGAATATTGATCATATCTTTCACTCCACTATTAAGTCAATATAAGTCGAAAACTCCTTTTTGACTTATGAGTACACATTGGCCAAGGATTTCGTTATCGACTTAATTGAATGAAACGCAGATCATAATCTCCTACTATCTAAAAGTGACGAATCATTTATTAGTCAATCACAACCTTCATACGATTCTTGATGTACCTGAACGATGTCGTATTAGCGGCCCTTTGCAAAGTAACATCCAACACCGCCAAAGTATGACTGTCCTCATATAAGGTACCATGACGACCTCAAGTCAAACGACCAATTCTACTACCGAACGTTAGAAATTAACCACTGACACTCAGATAGTTATCCATGTGAAATCTCTCGACGGGTCTCCAATATTTTGTTCTATAACAAAACATCCACATGTCATTTAAGTGTCACCACACTTTAGCTTGTGAGATCAGCTACTTACTTTACAAGTAAGAAATGCCACACGTGATGGTCTATCCGTAATAACGATATCCGTATCTCGTTATTACTTACGACCACGGACAATTTAAGATTCAATCAGATGTAATTTGTATCTCACAATCACAACTCCTTGTGATTAATAAATTATGAAGATTTGAATTTACGGACTCTATTATTTATTTAATTGTCTATTAATTAAATAATAGATCTGCCATTAAATTGCATTAATTATATATCAAAAGTATTTATGTCTAAAGTTGATTGGACTTAGGGCATAATACTTACAAACCATCGTTTTGGCAAGTCTATCATTAAGGTTTCTGTGTCATTTCGTCTGATATTATTGCTGCATTTTCTACCTCCCTGCTGTACAAGGTCCTGTAGATTTTCGTAGCATTAAGGTTCTCAATCCTTATAATGCTCGAATAAAGTGCTTTGTCTACTAAAGTTTTCTATCCTTATAATGCTTGAATAAATTACCGTGTCTATGAAGTGACATGACTACCTTGATCCCACAATTTGAATATAACTTTCTCAATGTTGTAGGCAGTTTTCTTAGGATCATTTTATCTAAAAATTTAAGATTTCATGCATATAATGGCATTCAACACGTCCCCTCATCTGTCGGTAAGTTCTTTTTTCTCTCACCGAAGCTTCATATAGATGATGGTTAAACTTGGAACTTGGACATTAGCTGCTCTGAAATCATGTTTAATGCTTGATTTAAATTATTAGTAGATAGAGAGAGTCACATTTATATAATTCAAATGATATCGGAACCCTAAATGATTTGGTGTTGATTTGGTACAGGTATCTGCCACCTTATACTTCATTTTTGCCAATTGAGGAAAAGAGTTCAACAAGCACGAAAAGGAAGAATATTATGGAACACATATTATTCTCACAACTCTCTTATTTAGTCATTTTCATCATTCTCATTTGTATAACCGAAAGGGAAAAGATGAAAAGAGATCCCCTCAACTTCAACGTGCTCAACATTGTCATTGAAGTAATTAGGTGAGACCTTAATTTTCTATTTTCTTCTTATTAGTTTTCATTAGTTAACTAGAACAACAAACCGAATCTTATTCCCGATAAATTTAGGTTCCCTTCATGAATCGTGGATTAAGATTTTTGTTTAACAAAGATCCAAAACTACTTAATTCTTCGTGTTTAAAAGAAATAACGATGTTTTGCAGTGCGTATGGGAACGTAGGATTCTCCATGGGATACAGTTGTGCAAAGCAAATTCATCCCGATAAATACTGTAAAGACGCATCGTATGGATTCGTTGGAAAATGGAGTGATGGGGGAAAATTTATCATCATTCTAGTTATGTTCTTTGGAAGGTTGAAGAAATTCAGTAAGAGAGGTGGCAAAGCTTGGAAACTACCTTGACATGCATGTATATATGGAGAGATACATACGTACATACCTAAGCACATAAGATAAGCGTGAATACAGTAATGATTTCCTAAGCACTAATGCATAGCTTATAAGTATCAGTGATATGACACGCTAATTAATTGGTGAATAATTAAATTCATGAGATCTACCATTAACTTATTCACCAATTAATGATGTGCCATGTCACCGTTACTTAACATAAGTTAAGCATCGATGCTTAAAAAATCTTTTTTTTTTTTTGTGTGTATATATATTTCTTCTTGATTTCTTGTACAAGGTTTGGTTGATCTTCTGATATGTTAGCTCATATTGAGAGTACTATTCAAACACCTTGTTACGTGAAAGCTAAACAAAAAAGGTATTGTGAATATTAAATTGATTTTTGACAACGTAATTTGAAAATTACTTTTTATTTGACTAAATACTATTTATTTACATATAAAATTACTAATTAAATATTTTAACTAAGCTGTTCTGGCATAATTTTTAGTATAGATTGTATTGTTTAATTTTTTTAAGACCTTAAAATATGAAATATGTGAAATATCGTGAAAATTATGAAATACCATAATTTCTTGTATCATCGTAAATTTTATTCTACAAATATTAATGATCATTAAAAAATGAATAAAATGTCATTTTAACCATTCAAAAATATTCTTTGAATTGTATACAAATCGTTAAGTAGAAAAATTTTGACTATAAATTGTTGGGAAAAATGAATGATTTGTGTGTAGATAAATCAACAATTAAGATACCAATTCTAAACATAAACATAATTAATATAAAGAAGAGATTTAGAAAGCAAGTTTTAAGGGATCACATTAAGGACTTTGTCCTAAAGTCCTGTTATCTCCCCTTCATGTCGGTATTTTCAACACTACATGACTCGAAGATAAAATCTCATGTAGCACATAGCCAATTACCCTTATATGGGCACGACCATATGAAGATAAAGAATGAGCCTTTATCAAGTTGCCAAAATTATAAAAATATAATATAAAATAGAGATGGAATATTTTGTATTTAAGTATCTCAAGTTGTATTTTCATATTGTCCAAACTATAAAATCCCCTCCCTTTTCATGTACAACCTAAACCTCCACACTAATGAGAATAAATTCAATTAAAGCGTAAGTAAAAATATATAATGTTGACCCTAAAAAAAGTGCCAACAATTCGAATTCCGTTGAAGAACACGTAAGCAGATTTTAATACACGATCACAAGTAACAAATTGATAATAACCCAAATGTAGAAATATAGGAAAGGTGGTACGCCGTTAACCAAATGTGTAATGGCTCCAACGTTTATAGACGAATCTATGAAAAAATAAATGGCATGAATATAGCTTCTTTTATTATATAAAAATGGAAAACAAGTGCTTTGTAGTCTCAAGAGTTGCATTCCTCCATCTTTGCTACATTGGGGAAGTATTTATAAAGTTACCAAAAAAAAAAAATGGTAACCCTTGGATAGGGGGTACATGTGACCTCAACTCCTTGGTTTAAGTATCTAATCATAGGCGTCAACTTTGACCTATTAGCTTGTGATGCACTCAATACTTATATAGAGTTGCCACTTTTTGTTGACCAGACTCAACAGTCATGCTCATCACTAGTGTCCCATCAATCATTTCTAGGAGATTTTATACAGAGATTTAGAATCTCCCTCGTGGGTTGGCACCAGGTAGGAAGTCTGTATACTTTTTCGAGGCTATATGCCTCGAGGCCTTGGAGTTGTGGACTTCGGCCAGGTAGGTAAGATGGGCCTCGCTATGCAGTTCTTGGCCTCGTCACTTGTAGGCAAGACTTTGTGGAGGTGGTTTCTTATACTCACCACATTATTAGTGGCTTTGAATCTGAGCCGCACTGTAGAGTTCAACTTGTGACCTTAGGAGCTCACCAGGACCACGCTTGTACCTGAGCTTCCTTTACCAGCCTAGCCATCTACGAACAGTTTCCATGTGGGGGGGGGGGGGGAGGGCTCTGCAGGCTCCATTTTTTCCTCCATCACCAGGGCGTAGGAAAATTTGACCACAAAATCAGCTAAGGCTTAGCCTTTGATAGCTGCCATTGCCTTGAAGTGGATGTTAAATTCATTGAGCTCCACTGCCCACTTCATCAATCTTCCCAAGGCGTCAGGTTTTGAAAGTAGTTTCCTGAGAGGGAAGTTGGTCAATACGTTTATCGAGTGTGCTTGAAAGTAGGGCCTTAATTTTCTACAAGTTGTGGTCAAGGCTGAGGCTAATTTCTCCATGTTGGAATAAGGAATTTCAAGAGCCAGAAGCACCTTGCTAGTTTAGTAAACAGGTAGTTGAACGGCTCCCTCCTCTTTGACCAGAACGACACTCTAGGCCTCATTGAAGATGGCCAAGTGCTATTGTAGGGCTTCTCAAGATTTAGGCTTCGAAAGGAGGGAGGCCTGCCATAGGCGTATTTTCAGGCCCCTGGAAGACCTCTTCACACTCATCTGTCCATTGGAATCTCTATCCCATTTCATGACCTTGAAGAATGAGAGATATTTGTCGGTAGCTGGATAAAACAGCTTAATGTAGCCACATGACCAGTTAAGTTTTGGACCTTATTTGGACTTTGGGGAGACCTCATCTACATTAGAGTATGAATTTTCTCGGGATTGGCTTCAATACCTCTTTGGTTGACCATGTATCCCAATAATTTATTGAAAACCACACGAATGCGCACTTCAGGAGGTTCAGCCCATCCTGTACCTCCATAAAATCTGAAATGCCTCTTTGAGGTGCACTACATGGTCATTCACCTTGAGGCTCTTGACGAGCATGTCTACATAAACCTCCATTCGTTTCCTGATAAGGTCAGAAATCATCTTATGAACAAGCCTCTGGTAAGTGGCTCCGACATTTTTTAGCCCGAATGACATCATCTTGTAGCAATAAAGACCCCTATCGGTGATGAAAGAAGTTTTCTCCTAGTATGTGGGAATTTTATTATAGCCCTAGTAAACATCCATGAAACTCAATAATTCATGCCCGATCGTGAAGTCCACCAATCGATCTATCTGTGAAGGGGAAAGCTATCTTTTGGACACACCTTGTTGAGGTTAGAAAAATCAATGTACACCTTCTAGTTTTCATTGTGATTCTTTACCAGCACCGAGTTGGAGATCCATTTTGGGTATCTAGCCTTCATGATAAAGCCATTTATGATAAACTTTTGGACTCTTCCTCAGGGCATCATATCTTTCTAGATTGAGAGCCTTTCTTTTCTGTTTATGCGAGCAGCCTTAGGATCAATTTTTAAATGATGGTAGCTAACTCTGGGATCAATGCCTACCATATCCTCATGTCTCTATGCAAAGATATCAAGGTTCCCATGTAGAAAGTCCTTGAACTTCTCTTTGACTTCCGGGGACACACCCTTTCCCACGTGTAACAAGTTCATTTGATCCAACAGATCTAACGGAGACTCTCTAACTCCTCTCACAAGCTATTTGGTGCTCGAATTCATTCACCCAAAGGTCCAATTCATCAAGAACGACCACCGCCTTGAGGGCGTCCAACATTTTGACATCCTATTGCCCGATGCCTTGCTCATCGGGGGTGTCTAAGATTTCCATGTCAACTATCAACATATTAACGTCTCTAGGCTCTACCTTTCTGATTGAGTTCAAGTAGCATTCATGGGCTCCTCTTTGATTTTCCCTAACTGTTGATATACCCTGTTTAGTTGGAAATTTCATATATAGGTGATGAATTAAGGTTACAGCTCCCAGGTCCTTCAGTGCTGGCTTACCCAAGACCCCATGATAGGCTGATCTATTGTCTACTACAAAGAATTCCATAAAGTTTAAACTCGTTTGAGTGAAGTCTCCCATCTCAACTGCAAGTGTTGTTTTTCCATTAAGAGTGATGTTATCTCCGGTGAAGCCATATAGAGGGATGGTGATGAGAGTGAGTTCATGATCTACAATCATTTTATTAAAGGTAGTTCCAAAGAGAATGTTAACAATGCTGCCATTATCCACTAACATTCATTTTAGCCCATTTCTAGCCACTATGGCCCTTACAAACAGAGCGTCACAGTACAAAAAGTGTACGCCTTTGGTATCTTCATGGGTGAATATAGTTGGTGGTGCTTAGTTTTTTCAGGAGCTGCCATCCACTATATAGCTAGTTAGTGGGAATCCCTTTTCTTCTCTGGAGCAGTTCCTCTGCGTATTCTTGGTTTCTTCGCTAATATAAGGGCCTCCAAAGATTGTGTCAACTTCGTGGACCGAGGCATCTTCCAGGTTGCCTTGGTACCCTCTAAGCGACCGTTGCTTTGGCCTCTTGTCCTTATGCTCTCGTTGTTTCCGGGGGAAGACTTCACGACCATGGGATGTGGCCTCATCACGATCGATAGGCTTGTCATGCCTCAATGAGGTCCTATTCCCTTGGGAAAATCATGTCTTCACGCATCTTGGGGAGTCGCTTTCCTAGGATGCTGGGTGTCGTCCCTATAATTTGTAATATCGGGGCTATAAGAGTGGTGAAATGAACAATATTCGAGGGGATTCGGCCTATTTCTAGGTCTTGAACCACGCCCTCGACTTCTTTCCCGATGGGGAGCCTGTTGCCTTGTTCCGGTTGGTTGTGTATCATTCTTAGGAGTGATGTCTTCATATGCTAATGTGGGTACTATATTTAAAGTAGTCGTTACAAAGGCCTGTCCTGAGTTGGGGTGATTTTGTAGCCAACATGATTCCACTGATGATCCATTAAATGAGAGGTGGGTCCTTTCCCATGTTGTCTTTGTGGGGGCTGAAGGCCTCTACTGGCCCTATTTCTTTGGTCAATTAGCTCTTCGTTAATGATTTTGCACCTCATCATTTCCATTAATGCGTCGTATATGATTGAGTGTTGATTTTGCACATCTCTCCAGAATAAGGTGTTCATGTTCAAGCCCCTACGCAATGCTACAAGGCCTCATGGTCTGTCACTTGTACATGATATGTCATCTCATCAAAAAATCGAGATAAAAAACTCTTTAGAGTCTCCCCAGGCTGCTGCCCGAGGCATTGATGAGTTTTCATCCTTGCTTACTGCAAACCTCTTTACAAATGTGGTTTTGAACTTAGGCCAGCTCTTAATACTCCTAAGTGGTAGTTGGCTATACCAGATTTTCGATGCTCCACACAATGTTAAGTGGAAAGCTCTACATGTCACAGTTGGAGAGGTGCCTCGCATGCTCATATGAGTCTTGTAGCTATTCAAATGCT